TTTTTTATTTTTTTTTTTTTTTTTTTTTTTTTTTTTTTTTTTTTTTTTTTTCTAAACATAAATTAATTTTTCAATATATTTTTCAAATGTATTTTTTTATATAAGTTTGATTTAATTATCCTTATAATATTTTATAATAATTTGACATTTTTTTTTTTTTTTTTTTTACACTTTTTTGTTTTCTTCTTTTTTTTATAAAGTTTTTGTGATATATAACTTTTTTTAAAGATGTTCTAAATGATGTTGTATTAATAGTTATTCCCAAACATAAATATTTTTATCTTTTATTTGTTACATCTAGACCTTTTTTAATTTTTTTTTAATATATAATTATCTATAAAAAAAAAAAAAAAAAAAAAAATGAGTGATGAAGATGAAAAAATATACATTTACTCAGATTTATTTTCTAAAAATTTTAGTGAAGATGAAAAAGATAGAACATTTCATAAAGAAAAAAAAGTTTATAGTTCTAATGAATTGAAGAATGGAGAAAATGAATATTCTAAACTTAGAGCTGAAAATTCTACAATATTAAATGATTATTTTGAAAATGAAAATATTAAAAATTTAAATGAGGGTAATATTAATAGTAATGAAAAAAATGATGTTATATTGTTTCCAATAAATAAAAATTATTCAATGAATATATTCGACGGACAATTAGTAGAAAATAAGCATTCTGTAAAATTAACAAAGTCTGGATTTTATTCAATTTTTATAGAAAATAATAATAATGTAATAAAAAAAAATTATGAAAATTAATGAAAACGAAATAAAGTGATATACAATTTCTTTTTATTTAATTTTTTTAATTTTTAATTGGTTATTTATTTTTTTTTATTTTACATTTGACTTCTTTAGTATATATTTAGTAAATATAATTTTATTGATTTTTATTATTTTTTAATAGAGTAAATGGGATAGTATTTATTTTGGATTATCAAAAATTCAAGTAGAGTTAAATTATAAATTGATGATTAAGAAGGATATGATAGAAAAAGAATGTGAAGAAAATAATCAAAATGATAATACGACTGTAAATGATGAAAAAGAAGAAAATTATAATTTAGAAAAAAAATTCATGAATTCATTTTCCAATTTAAATAATGAAATAAACGAAGTGTGCAAATATAATTTAGACCAAACTGAAATATTATTAGAAGATAATTCAGAAAAAAGAAAAAATGATAAATTTAAAGCAAAAAATACTAACTATTATGATAATTTAATATTGAAAAATAAATATGCTTCTATTTTATTTGATACAAACAATAATAGTCCTGAAACGTACACTTGTTCTTTCAAGACAGAGGATCAAATAAGAGTTCCATCAAAAAGGAAAAAAAATGTTTATTTATATAATAAGGAAGAAAATACTATATTAGAATTAACTGTTCGTACATATATGTCATTAGGAATGAGTGTGTTATGTAAATATGGTTTATTATACTGTGGTAAATATAATCAAATTCCTCGAGATCCATATGTACCCTTTAAAAAACCGTACTTTTAAGAAAACAAAAAAATAAAATATAATAAATGAACAAGAAAAAAAAAAAAAAAAAAATTCAAATTTTGATTTTTAATACTTATATATCTTATTTTGTTTTATTTTTTTTTTTTTTTTTTTTTTTTGTAGGGTTTCAATTTTATCATTAGATGGTGGTGGAATATTAACTATATCAACCTTATTAGTGCTAAATAGATTAGAAATTGAAATAAGAAAAGAAATAGGTAGTGACGATATTAATTTAATTGATTGTTTTGATATGGTATGTGGAACAAGTGCAGGAGGATTGATAAGTTTAGCTTTACTAAGAGAAATAGGAGTGCAAGATGTTACAAATCTTTGGCCAAGTACGATGAAAAAAGTATTCGAAGGTAACAGGAATCTTATTTCAGGAATCTTGTTTGAAGGATATGATATAAATAGAGTTAAAAATGTTTTAATGGAACGGATAGGAAATAAATTTATATCTTCTTATAAAAAATTATATTGTTTTGTAACTGCAACAGATGTTAAACATAAACCATATAAATTATTTTTAATAAGAAATTATACTCATAAATATAACTCTATAAATGGAGAATCATATGATGGTATTAATAAAGTGCCATTATGGCTAGCTGCTTGGGCAACCGCTTCGGCTCCTACATATTTAAAAGGTCCTAGTGCAGATGATATAAAAAAATTGGGTATTAAAGTTAAACCAGAAATACATTTAGTTGATGGAGCTTTAAAAGCTAGTAATCCTGCTTTAATTGCATTAGAAGAGTGTGCAAGATTAAATAATAAAAACTTATCAACTTTTATAAAAGAAGATTTGGATACTTTAGTTTCTATTGGAACCGGTCAATTACCAACAAAATTAACACAATCAGCTTCAAGCAGTAAATCAGCATCCACTTTTGAAATTTTAATTAACTCTACTCATTTATTAACAAGAGCAAATGATACACACAGAGAAGTTTTACAATGGTTAGCTGATAGAGAAAATACATACTTTAGATTTAATGTACCAAATATAGGAGATATAGATATAGACAGCCAAGATATCAAAGATTTTGATTTAATTGCTAAAGCAACACAAGATTATTTGTTTGATGAAAAATATTATGAGATTAAAAGATTAGCTAATAAGCTAGCCAATAATTATATACGTTCAAAATATCTGTAAGAATATATGATTGCATAATTACATAAAATAAAAATATTCTTATATTTAAAAAAAAAATATATTAACATGTTAATACAGAACAAACATATATGACAAAATTGTTAAGAAAAAGAAAAAATAAAATTAAAAAAAAAGATAATAGTGATAAATTAAATTACATAATAACATGCTTCTAAACAAAAATAAAAAATTGAATTTTAAATTATATGACTATATGCATAAATTCAGAAAATAGACATATATAAAAAATCAATAAATGCAAAAAATATATATTCACTATAAAAGAAGAATATTGAATTAAAAAAATATAAAAAAATACACAAAGAGATTTATATATATAGTCTATAAAATTAAATGTAAATTGTACTTAAAAACATATATGAGATATTTATAATATTATCATAACATTATTTCATTTATATTTTCAAAATTTATAAAAGGAGTAATTATGTGAATATATAATTAAATATATTTTTATATTTTACCTCTTCATAAAGGAAATATATATATATATATATATAATTATTTTTTGTTTAAAAACTTATTCAAAATTTATAACTTTTTTGAAATTTAAAAAGTATCAATAAAAGATTCTCTCATATTAATACACCATTGATTTTATTTTTGTTTAGTTACCATTTTATAATGAATGAATGTTTATATACCATAAAATATTATACCCCTATATATATATATATTTCTTAAAATATAATTATATTAATTAATATACATTAGTATTCAAATTTTCATGTTTTGCTATATATGTGAAAATGAATACATAAATTATTAATATATAAAAAGATGAAATTATCCTTTTTTTTTTTTTTTTTTTTTTTTTTTTTTATACATATTTACACGTAGAAGTTTCCATTTTCTCAT